TGATCTGCATTAATTTCTTGATAATTTATTTTTGCTTTTTGCATGATTTGTGGATAGGGGAATTTAGTGAGGTGGCAAATATGAGACCAAAAGCATTAGGTGGCGAAACTTTGTTTAAATTCTGGACACCAGAATTTTCTATATCATTGACACCTTTTTATGATTGTTTTACTTGTTGATTTTGTCTTGCTCCCTCCCTTCCATTGATTAAGCCTGCAGTTTGGACATAATTAATAATGGGCTTAAAACAAAGGGTTTGGAGTATGTGTTATATTGACCCCAACAAAGGGTTCAATCATCCTCATGTTTGTCTTCTGGTTGTCACTACAGGTGTCCAAGGGTGTAATGTCTTGTGTGACTCAGGAAGTGAAGGACATTTATCATCTCTTGGAACATGAATTTCTTCCCCTGGATCTTCCATCGAAAGTTCAGCCTCTGCTAACTAAAATATCTAAGTTGGGGGGTAAGCTCTCCACTGCTTCTTCTGTCCCTGAGGTGCAGCTGTGTCAGTATGTCCCAGCATTGGAGAAACTAGCTACCTTGAGGTTGCTACAGCAGGTGCATTTTAATATATGGTGTCAATTTTTGGATATTTAATCATTTCTTCTGGACATGCTGAATTCTGTGTGCTAAATGTTATCCTTTGGTTTTTCAGGTGTCCAACGTTTACCAGACAATGAAGATTGAGACCTTATCTGGAATGATCCCCTTTTTTGATTTTTCTGTTGTGGAGAAGATTTCTGTGGATGCTGCTAAGCATAAGTTTGTATCCATGAAAGTTGATCACATGAGGAAGGTTGTAGTTTTCTGCAAGACGGTATGTTGCCATTCAGTTGGTTTAGTTGCCTTACTAACGCATGATATCATAGAAGACAACACGCCATTTCACCTCATAATGGTTCAATAATAGATGCACTTGGCAATAGATTTTGCTTTTGCAGAAAAATAACTTGTGATATGTTGAAAATTAATCTCATTTAACATCATCGTGAAATCTCTAGAATCCCTGCTCTTACTAGCCCTACTGTACTTAAAGTAAATAGTAATTGCGTATTTTCTATTGCAGAATCTAGAGTCTGATGGCTTAAGGGATCACTTGGCTAAGTTTGCTGAACATCTGAACAAGGCGAGACAAATGATTTATCCTCCTGATAGAAAACCATCAAAAATTGGAGCTTTGCTTCCCTCCTTGAATGAAGTTGTTGCCAAGGAACACAAGAGGCTTCTTGCACGGAAATCAATTATTGAGAAGCGAAAAGAAGAACAAGAACGGCAGCTTCTTGAAATGGTATGGTCTTGTGAATTAGTGATGCATGAGAGCTTGCAATTTCAATTTAATCATTTTTTATTTTAAGAGATTAAATTTTCCCTTTAATCCTGTATATATTAAAGGAAAGAGAGGAGGAATCAAAGAGATTGAGACTGCAGAAAATAACTGAAGAAGCAGAACAAAGAAGACTTGCCAATGAGTATGAGCAGAGGAAGAATCAGAGAATTCTCAGAGAAATAGAAGAGAGAGAAATGGAAGAAGCTCAAGCATTGCTTCAGGAAGCTGAGAAGCGTATTAAAAAGAAGGGAAAGAAGCCAATCATTGAGGGTGTAAGTTGAAGTCTACTTCTGACTAGATTTCCAATTATTTTGGTTAGGACGTACTGAGAGTGAGTTATATCTGCAGGAAAAACTGACCAAGCAAACACTGATGGAGTTGACGTTGACTGAACAACTCCGGGAAAGACAAGAAATGGAAAAGAAACTACAAAAATTAGCTAAAACAATGGACTATTTGGAAAGAGCCAAAAGAGAGGAGGCTGCTCCCTTGATTGAAGCTGCATATCAAAAGCGCCTAGTGGAAGAAAAGCTTCTCCATGAGCGTGAGCAACAGGTAGTTTACCTCTCCTGTGTTTTGTGTTTTTGTTTTTTTTTCCCCCGGGTGATAGTTTATTTCTTCTGTTTTGTTTGGAAGGATGTGCACTACTGTTTGTGTAACGTGTATATTCTTTTGCATGAATAAAATAATATTCTTCCCTCTCTTTGACCCACCTATGCTTTGATGCAGCTTGAGGTTGAAGTTAGCAAACAGCGCCATGAGGGAGATCTCAAGGAGAAGGAAAGGCTGGCTCGTATGGTTGGCAATAAAGTCAGTAATCATCAACTTCTGTGGCTTGTTAACTGTTAGCGGTCTTTAAGGAATTGTAATAGATGACTCGTGATATCTGCGTTATATTGGATGGAAACTATTTTGAGAACGTAACTAGAGAGTTCTGTTTCGAGTCTTTTAATTTTCTACTTTGTGTGCTTTCTGTCTGTTCTCTACTTAAGTGGGATCAATCTGCTCATTTTCTCACCAACATGCCCTTCTTCTGACTTATGCTGCATGTGATAACTTTTATGTAGGAGATTTATCAAGAGAGAGTCGTCAGTTCTCGTCAGGCAGAATTTAATAGGTTGAGTCGGGAAAGAGAGGAGCGAATCTCAAGGATTTTACAGGCCAGGAGACAAGAGAGGGAAAAGATGAGGAAGTTGAAGTATTATCTGAGGTTAGAAGAAGAGAGACAGGAAAAATTGCGTGAAGAGGAGGAAGCTCGGAAGCGTGAAGGTAACCTTACCAGAAACTATTTCCTCAGCACTTGATTATAAATGCTCTGCTCCACGGTCAGATCCCTTTCTTTGTATATTTTCCTTGCTCATCGGCATTGATGACTTTGCAGAGGCTGAGAGGCGGAAGAAGGAAGAGGCTGAGCACTTGGCGAAATTGGCTGAGATACTAGAAAAGCAGAGGCAAAGAGAGCGGGAACTTGAAGAGAAGGCGGAGAGGCAGAAGAAAGAAGCACTGTTTGGCAGAAGTGGTGAAGCAGCTGTGAAGCCTCTTGAACCTCCAGCCCGCCCATTGGAGGCTGGACCCACCGCTACTGCACCAGCTGCGGCAGGGGCTGCAGCTGCCTCTGCCCCTGGGAAATACGTACCTAAGTTCCGTCGTGAGAGGGCTGAAGTCCCAAACCCTGCTGCTCCTTTAGAAGCTGATCGATGGACAAACCCTAGCAGGCAGGATGGTGACAGATGGCGTAGTGATGACCGAAGACCTGCTTTTGGTGCTGGTGGGGGTTCAAGGTCGTCGTCAGCATGGTCCTCATCCAGGCGTGGAGCTGATCGTTGATCAACTTGGCTCTTGATTTTGCAATAGAACAGGGGGGCAACCGGTTGGTGGGGCATTGCTTAATTTTGCGCTTGCTCCTCGATGATTGAACGATTTATCAAGTTTTGTCTGTAAACCTATCATGTTTTGAGTTCTAGGTTTCTTTTTATTATGGAAGACTTCAATTTATCTGCATAATGCTCATAGAGCCGTGGTTTCAGTTGAGGAACAGGCCTGTAATCTTATGATGAGGTTGAGTGTATTGGATACCCAAAGTTGAAATCGGAATTCCAGATGAGGCATGTCCCAGACCTATTTATCCTTGATGGTATGTTGAAATCAAAATTTCAAGTTTCCGTAGCTTGTTGAAGCAGTGTGTATTTCAGGACACTTTCGTATTTGTCCGGGAGGGAATATTTCATTATAGTACTTTTGATCTTAAATATAATTTTTGATAATTAGAGAATATTTTATTATAGTACCTCTAGGGTTCTAAATATAAGATTTTTTTATAGTGTAAATTAATTACAAAAAGAGTCTTATATTTAGGGTCATATTTAGGATTAGAGGAGTATTATGTAAGCAACTTAATGTCCGTTTAGTCCCAAAAAATTTTGAATTTACACTACTCGTTTTGGATAATATTCCGATCTTAATATAAGATTTATTTAATTAATTTGATTAGATTAAAAAGTTAGATAGGTTAGTTAATTATAAAAAATGTGACATTTTTTTTAAAATATCATAATCATCTTTTTAACATCTTCTTATTTTCTACTTGATTATATTTAAGGGAATATCCATAAAATAATTTTAAAAAAATTATAACTATGAGGAGTATTTAAAAATAAAACTAACTAATAACAGTGGACTGAAGGAGTATTGAATTTGAACAGCAGAATGAAGAAGCCTTGATGGACAACTTCCAGTCTTTGGTTGCTTGCCAGGTGGCTCTGATGGCGGGATCTCAACGATGAACCGGGGAACCGTGACGTTTTGCAAGCTTTGGGCTTTGAAAGAGTTACAATTTAACCCCCAAAAAAAGAAAAATAATTATTAAAAAATCTTAATAATAACTTAAATAGTATACAATGATGAGTTTCAAAAATCAAAACAAAGAATAATAATTTTTGGGATTTATTTTGTTTTTTTTGCTTCATTATAATTCTTTTCTAGGCTTTTGACAGTGGTATTACGGCATCCTTTCTTTCAAAAACCCTAATTCCGAAACTTTTGAGCTTTACAAAACTGGAACAACGTCTTCTCGTTCAAATGCCCTACGGTTCTTCCTTTCACTTGTTAAAAACATTTTATAAGAGCATTAGAATGTGTTACCTTGCTCTGCAAATGCAATATTAACATGTGTTTATAGGTAAATTAACAATAAAAAAAATATAAAAAAATAACATGAAAATTTATGACAAAAATACCTACGGAGCTACTTGGATCAATGTGCCGTCAACATTTATTGCCCAAATGTAGATTATTTGGTTGAAAGCTGAAACCTTTTGCATTAATTAAGAATAAAATTTAAAAAAAAAACTTTTTTCAAGACATAAATTAGTACGTATAATTAAATCATTTTGTTCCATAATCAGGAAGGAGAAAACAATTATCATTTTTTCATTTTTTTACCTAATAATAAATTAGATTTTAAAAAAATTTCACAACCCAGTCTAACTCCGCACGCCATAACTTGCTTCCACCGTTCCACGTCCCCCACCACGTCTGGACTGACTCAGTCACCTTCTTGTTTTGATCAGCATATGCATCTATATATATATATATATATATATATATATATATATATATTCCACAGGGAGGCACCTTCAATTCAAACCCTAACATTAGGACTTGGATTTCTCTCACAATGTCTATATCACTCTCTGGCTTCATCATCCCTATTCGCCTCCGAACCTCCAATTCTTTGGCTCTGTTCCTGTACGCCGCCACTTGGACCGTGTTTCTAGTGTTAACGGTGGGCGTGGTGTCATTCTCGACGGAGATGGCTTTCGTGTCAGCCGTGACGTCTTCTTCTTCCTTTTCTAAAAGTTGCAAGATGGATGGTTCCATCAGAGTGCCGTTGGACGTTCCCGGTGCCATGCTCTGTTTTCCGGCTCCCCTGTTCCATAAGTCCAAGCTCGATGTCATCGTTCCGCCTATTTTATCCGTCGTCGTCGTCACTGCTTCTGCTTTTATGGTTCGAGCCCTAGGCCTGTGGGATCATCATCAATCACATTGATATTTCTTCTCCGATTGTTTTAGATTATGATATTCTTCTTGAATATAATTTTCCAGTCAAGTTCTGGAATGCAGATCTTAACCGACCGTAATGATAGTATGCGTTTCATAATCTGAATTGCCATGAATTTTGCAAGATTAATTGATTGATGTTAAGATAATTCGTTTATATATATATTTTTAATCTTTTGTTTTGCTAGTGGCTATTGCTTTTCAGAAACAATTCATAAACAGACTCTGAATAAATTCACTTTAGGAATAAAATGTATAAATTATATTATGTATAACTATAATTTAATCCATGTACCTCTTTTGTTGACTTGTTCTAAATATTGACACAGTAAAAATCCTAAATATCTCCTCATTTTTCTCCCCCGGGTGCATTAGTTTCTATTTTTTCTCGAGGATTATTTATCTCCCTATATATCTATCTACTTGTCAATGTTTATATCTTCGTTAGCAAAGATAACAGTTTGTTCCTTTGGGAGGATAGTTTTGTATTTTGTCCATTTTATTATTTAGGGTTAATGTCTAAATATGTTTTGCAGATTTTTACTCCCGAAAGTTTTTTTTGGTTTGGGTGGTACTAATTTGCCAGTGTTTGTCAGTTATGCCGTTCAAGCATGTATGGTGACTGGTGAGGAAGATAGCATGTTGTGGCTGCTCCCTGTGACATTAAACAAAATAAAGATAATTACTTTGATATAGTTATTCTTAAATGAAACGTTCTATTCTTATATTAAAATTACCCCAGATGAAGAATACACTGAAATTACCTGTTGGATGTCCAAAGTCGACGACTTCAAAAAAAAAAAAATCGTTTAAAATAATGGCATTAGAAATTGCAGCACAAGGGAAAGGAAGAAATGCTCCCAAAGAGGATGGACTGATTAGGCTGCAATGTTCACATACCCTCCTTCTGAACGCGATTTCAAGAACCAAAAGAAAATAAATGAGTATTAAGTTCATTGCAGAAATCATTGGGACATAGAACAGAAGCAAGTTGGAGCCGTGAGTGCATTAAAAGAACATCCTTATGCTCTCTTGTTGAAGTAACTGAGAAGTTTTAACAAAGGATTAGGTAGGTGTTACCAACAGAAGTTGATCCAATTGGTAAGGAGTCAACTCATAATCCATAAGGTTGTGAGTTCAAACCCTGCTGCCGATGTGAGAACCTTATTGATAGGTGATCTGTGAGTAACTCTACAAGCATTCTTTGAGCCTGGAGGCATTCTCTGACCTTGGTGAACTCTCGGGACTCAACTCACTAAAACTTTTTCTGACAAAACAAAAGGGATTAGGTAGGTGTTTAAGTGATTTTGGGTATTTGACCCAAAAAAAGAGAGGTGATTTTGGGTATAAATATAGGATTTTTGTCTTGTAAAACACAAAATAGCTTATTTTAAGGGGTCTAGGATTTTCCAAACAAGCACTAAATTTTTTAAGCACACAAGTTTCTCTTAAAAATAATCATAATGCCTACTTTTAAAAATTTTCGTGTACAACCGTGTAATTAAGATGTTTGATTTACCTATTTATCACCACTTCCATAAGGTAGTAAATTTACAACTTCTCAAATTCTAAAGTGAGTGAAAATGAAAATTTGAATCGGACGATAACATTAATGAAGTGAGAAGAGAAATAGATGTAAAAATACAAGCCTAATTTTGGGGGAGTTATGTATTAGAAGCGGAGTCCATTTTTTTTCCACTTAATCTAAGGTCACCTAAGGGAATACGAGTTAGAAAGGAAAACACACCCAATTTGATTGTTGATCTTATCAGATTGAATCTCTATAAACTCTTTTTGAGCTTAAGATATGCCCTAATCCTAGTAAGCCTGAAACCTGATTCACCGAAATTATATTAAAAAGAAAAATTATCGGGAACATTGAACTGATCCTTCTTCAGAGATCGTCCTGGTGAATCCACCAGGTATCGTATCCTAACAAGTAATGCTATTAGCTTCCACTTTCAAAATGCTGCAGGGTTTAGGGTTTATAGGAGGTATCCTGTTCTTGTAGTAAAAACAAAATATCTGAATGTCTTTGACGGCTTATCACCACATAATTGGATTTTTTTTCCAAGAAAAACAAAAATCCAATGTTACGTGCTGTTAAATAGCTTATAACAAAACCTTACCTCTACCTTTTCACTTCTTGCATTCAGAAGCAATTCAAACTGCATTGTCAATATATATTATCATGACTGTTTGCAACGAGTATTGGCATCAAAACTGGTTTAAAATACTGAGAAGGATAGCACAGAACACTGCAAAATCTATATATATTATAACCCATATTTCGTCATGTTCAACCAGCACAAGAAGCTGTTCTGTTCTACTAATGTTACAAAAAGAATCATGTTATGAGCGAAAAGCTGGTGACAGACTTCAGGTATATCGAGGGTGTTCTCCGTGATCTTCTCTCTTTTGTCACATGAATTAATTAGGATTTCCTGTCAGATTTAGTGTTTAGTTGAATCTTGAATTGTCTCCAAAAGATGTTCTATTCTATACTTCATCACTGGCTGCCCTTTTCGTGTTTTCTTGAACATTTTGTCCCGCATAGCCTTTCTCCGAGATTCAGCCTTTTCTATTTCTTCCTTCTTTGCCTTTATAGCTGCCTCCCTTTCCAGCCTTTCTTTCTCTTTCTCTTCGTGCTTCTTCTTGTACAGTTCTTCCAAACGAAGGGAAGCATCCTTTCTGATCCTCTTCTTGTTGTTGTCCCTGTCTTCTTCTACTCCATTCTCACTCTGCAACAGCCAACAAAAAAGAAATGAATGGAGAAAAATGCGCCATACATAAAAAATCCACATTTAAGAGTCCTTCAACAGTTTTATTCTTCAAATCCAGCATAATTACTTATCAGCATCGGATAAAGGCCTAAGGGGCAAAATTGAAGATAAGGGCAAGCTCTTCCTTAAAATTCTATGACACACAAAGAAGGTTGAAGAAATCTAAGAGAGGTGGCACAACAGTTATTTGACAATCATGTCTGATTTAGTGGCAAGGTCTTAACCTATAGTTAGAGAGATAAATAATTATCACTCCCAACATATACTTAAAAGGGAAAGTAATCCAGTCTGATCCCAAACCTCAATCATTCTCTGGGGCAAGGAGACATCATTCTGCTCATTCTGCTGCTTCAACAACTTCTTAAACTTGTTCACCTTCTTAGCATTCTTATAGAACTCCCTTTGCTTCTCTGAGGGGGGAAAAAAAAAAAATAGAGAACATGTCACTCAGGAAGCTGCATTATATGACAATGAACAGAAGCCAGGGGATGGCATTAATGAAATCCTCGTTCTCATACTACTTTTCGGGATAAATGATTAGTAGAGACTAACAGAATTCAAACCAAAGTTGGGTTACAGTGTAGGATAAGTGATAATTGAAAGGACCAAGAACCAAGGGCACAATTAACGCGACTAATGAAAGGGTTGAAAGCATTAAAAAGAAGACGAATGAATACAAATAGAGTTAAGATGCATACTTATGAGAGCTGGGTTATAGTGATTGTCCTTGGATTTCGCATTAGCGAAGGCATGGAGTGAAAGGCCTCCTGCGCCCAACCTCGGCAGGTTATTCTTTTGCTTCTTCTTCATCGTCTTTGATTTGGGCCTATCGATTGAGTCAGACTTGTTGAAGGATTCGCTAGTTCCTTCATTCTTCCGACTTCGATTCTTCATCCTCAGCAGCTAATTTTGCTCTAGCAACGGTAGACAGGTCAAATCGCTGCGGTTCCTACGAGAACGAGGGCCAATACCGTTCTGTTCCCAATAACAAAGGACGAGTCGCTTGCCCTAATTTTGCTCCTGATGGATTAATTTCCATGGAGTGGAAACCGGGCCGGACGGGCTGGGTTGATCCGTGAACATATCTGACCCGTCCGATCGGCTGATTTCATTTTTCTTTTTCTAATTCGCTACAAATTGTTTTTGAAAATATTTACATAGACATTTTATCTCTTTATACTTCATATTTATATATTTTTAATATTTACTTTACTCTCAATAAATGTACTCCTTAAATCAAATATAGTATTTTGTTTTAACCACACTTCCTCGCACGTCAATTTGAAGGATATCGACTTCTAACAAATTTTTAGATGCTAATAAGAACTACCTCCAATCTCATTTTAACACCTTATTTGTAGATTACAAATGATGTTTATAATTAGGATCGAAGGTAGCATATTGTTTTTTTTTTTTTGGTGTGTAGAGAGGGAAATTATATTCTTCATCAAATTTAGTGGTTTTATACTTTTTTTTTGGAGTAGAATAGTGATTTTATACTTTTGATCACCAATACATCTATCATTCCTATTCTTGCATTACCGTTAATCTTTATTTGCAACCAATACTTGAAAGAATATGTCTGAAAACCCTTCTTACAACTTTTATATATATATATATATATATATATTTCAATAAGTGAACCATCTTTTCTATAATTTGTATCATTATTCCTTTTGGCCCTAGAATCAGTTCTTTTAGCACAATCTGGCAAAAAATTTCATGCTTCTTTCCAGTTTCCTAACTCTTCCTATTTGGGTTTTAATTCATTTTCATGGTAAAGTTTCTATACATAACAAAATCATTATACTTTTGAAAATCATCTTTTTAAATTTACTTAATTCTAAACATTTTATATACACCCCGTGCACACACAAAAAATGATTATTAAAAAATCAATGTCTCTGTCCTTATCTATACAGATCTGTCCACCATTAATTTAGCTTTTATATATAGACAGATGGTTCGTTTAGTTTTTTTTTTTTTTTTGCTTTGTTTTTTGGGAACTGATTTCGGTACTTATTACAATGATAACTAGCATAATATTGATGGCAGGTTTTATTAGCACTATTCATCCTTACGTTGCTATAAATCAGAACAAGGATTGTGATTTGTAGAAATGGTAGAAAAGAGAGCAAAAAAGAGAGAGAAACAGAGAGAAATAAGGAGAGAAAAGTAGATAGACAAAGAGGAAGGGGATAGAGAAACACATAAACTCAATTCTATTATTTTCAAAAGCTTATTACAATCAACCAACAAGCAGTAGCTAGTTATTGTCCCTTAAGTGTCTGTTAAGGCGGCGCAGACAAAGGTTTCTTTTTTCAAAATCTAAACTGCACTGGCCTCGTTTTCACCTTCTTTTTTCATGAGAAGCTCTTTAGTTTCTGGTACAAAAATGAGGATGGAGAAAATTCAAACAAAAGGGGCAAAACTGAAAATCATGAAAGTCCATGCAGTCCTAATGCTCCTTGTCATGATCAAGAAAGTTTGAGACACAATGAGATTTGAAACCCAAACTGATGTAGCTCCCATGCCTCCACATACTTTTGCACCAAAGCATTCATATCTTGGAGTTTACAGCCCAAGATCATCCCCATTCTAAGTGAAAATGATATGATATAGAGTGAAAGCCCTAAGATTGCAAGCCAACCAAAATTAGAAGGACATCCTTCTATGCACCATGAACTTTTCTCAGCGTCATCTTGCATCTTTGATTTGTCAATTTTAACAGAATTATAACCATTTTAATTAAAAAAGAGAGAGACTAATTTAAATTTTTATTGCTATTTTTTTAAGAAAGTTTAATTTGAATTATGTTATCCACCAATTAGAGACGAATTAAATTATTTTTATTGACAAAAAGCAGGGTATTTTTATTTTTGCAATTCCTGCTCCACATACCCATCAATATTGAAACATTTAGTGTTGGAATATTGGATTGGAAGATTTATGATCCCAATTTTCAATCAATGGAAGTAAAATCAGATGAAGCCCCAAAAAAAAATTAAAAATGGGATTGTAAATATTACCAGAATTTTATGTGATATGTACAAGTGAGCAATTATGAGATGCTATGAAGTTGGAGATATCAGAAGAATTTTAGAGAAGCTTTTCCTTATGTATGTGACCAAAACTTCGAGACGCTGTAAGAATTAGACATTTGTACATCCATATGAGAAACAAGTTGCGTATCTAACCGAGGAACAAGTTTTTTATTTTTTCACCCACCGGTAATGGCTAAATTTCAGAAGACATTTTATATTATATTTCTAAGTATATTGTTGCGCTTGATTTTTTAAATATAATTAGGTTAACCTATCGAGAAATTTTGGTCCAAAAAATTTATTGAAAAATTTTAGCCGTTTGAAGTAAAATAACAATGTTCCTTTTACCCAAAAAAAAAAAAAAGCAATGTGCGAAGTAACATTTAAAGCTTCTTTATCAAACCTATGCGGTCCTAAATCTTTTTAAAAAAAAAAAAAAGATTTTTTTTTTCACATTTTGTTCGTCCAGGAAATTTGGGTTCCATGCAATGAGTTCTTCAAGTTTTATGAAGTAAAGGGAGAGTATTAGTACTTAACATTATACTCCTCCGATCCTAAATCTAAAAGTTAGTAAAAAGATTTGTTTTTTATTCTAAATATGTTAAATGTTAGCTAAATATGTTAAATCTTAGTTTACTTTGTTTTCTAAATTTATACTACCTCCGATCCTTAATAGAAGATCTCGTTTGATTTTTATTTTGGTCTTAAATATAAAACCCCAATCCATTTTATTTGTAATATTTATGCATATTTTTTTTAAGATAGTTCTTCTAACAATGATAGTTCTAGCCAATACACTTGATTAACAAACAACACCTATTTATTACAAATAACTAACTAAACTTCTTTCCTAATCTCCTTAAATTAGTCAATTAGTTTTATAATTAGGACCAGAGGTAGTAATTTTTTTTCCTTGAACTCTCCCTATTAATTGCATATGTTAAAAAGATTTTTTCATTAAGAAAGTAATTTTCAATGCAAATGATTAAAAAAAATATTTTAGAAAAAACTAACATTTTTTTACAAATAACTAATATGACTAATTTTTTAATCCTACAAATTAGTTGTCAAACTCATACGTTTAACATGTTTGTCTTGTATATACAAAAGAGGAAATACCTTTGCATTAAATTTCAAGAACTTTACGAACTCTCACTTTAGAGGATCCGAATTACCCATTCTGCTATTCAAGACTGCAAATCGGTACACAATCTACATGCATCAGGATTGTGCAAGATTTATAATAAACTCCACTGAAGTTTCTTTACAAACCCATTTAGAATAATTTATAAGCAGCTTTTCAGTTGTAATTTATGGAATTCGAGTAGAATTTTGTCTAAACTTTTATCAAACCTACTTATCAGTGCTTATAATCATGATTCCAAATGAGTCCTAGGTGTCCGTTATTATCACATAATCCAATAAAAGCACATGTCAGGGTTTTGTTTTGAAACACCCAATCATGCAGCAGCAATGGCACTGATCGGGGAAAAATGTTCACTTGCCAAGTTCTTATTAGAAAGGCTAATACCCAGAAGGGATACCCACGCCCCTTGTAGTTTGATATCATTCTGCCAATTAAAGTTTAGTCTACTAGAACTTTCCATACCACAGTCGAGCGAAGTCAATAATATAACAAGCTAACCAGCATCTCAAATCAATGATTCATAAACTACTAAATCTAAAAACAGATCCTTAATGCCAAAAGGAGATTTCTGCTATACACATCAGCATTACAGGGGAGAGGAGAAGGAAATCAAATACATTAAACAGCGAACTAAAGTAACTCACCTATATATGCTGATCGTTCATAAGATGATACAATACTGTCTTTTCAATATTGATTTCACACAACTGGATTTAGATCACCAAGAAATATATTACACTAAGGCTTATTCTTGGACTGCAAAGCAAGAGAGAGTTACATACGAAAATTGATAAAATTAGACCTACATTAAATATGTGTGTATATATCTCACCTGCCTTTTCAATTATTCTCTTCTCGAGCCACAATAAGTTCGTCTAGATTTCCAGCATCACCAATATCTGTAGGTACCAATATCTCATCCTCAGTTGTGAAATTGTACCTGCTACCAATGGCTCTCAGAAACTGGTATACTTCAAACAAAGTCGGCCTTTCCTTTGGATTTAATGAAACACAGTTGCATGCAACCTTAAGAAATTGGAAAAGCTCATGATCACATCCGTTCCCAACTAATGATTCATCAATGGCAGTTTGCAGTTCAGAGCTGCTTGAGAGTTCGGTAATCCATTCAACCAAACTTCCCTTGAATGTTTCTGGAGCTTTAGCCATATGAGTGGGTCTTTCACCTGTCACCAACTCAAGAAGAACAACCCCAAAGCTATAAACATCCCCCTTAGTTGTAGCCACCAGCGTTCTTGTATACTCAGGAGCAACATAACCTAAATCCCCAAACTCCCCATTAACAAAAGTACTCAGATGTGTATCAATTGGGTTCATCAGTCTAGCAAGGCCAAAACTAGAAATTTTGGGCTCAAAATCGCTATCCAATAAGATACTCTTGGAGCTTATGTTACGATGAAGGATACGGGGATTGCAGCTATGATGGAGCCATGCTAATCCTTTAGCTGCTCCAATAGCAATTTTAAGCCTTATAGGCCATTCTAGGGTGCTCTGACCTTCAGCAGGATGTAGCTGATCATGAAGAGTGCCTTTTGACATAAAACTATAGACCAAAAGCCTCTCCTTCTTGGCAAGGCAAAAACCTAAAAGAGGAACCAAGTTACGATGTCTGACAGCCCCAAGGGTAGACATCTCAGAAAGAAATTCTTTCTCGGAGTGTTGAGATTCCTGCAATCTCTTAACCATGAGCGATGTGCCATCATCAAGGACAGCTTTGTACATGGTTCCTGTTCTTCCAGACCCGATAATATTGACGTTGCTGAAGTTGTTAGTAGCCTTCATGAGATCACTCAATTTCATTTTTGAAACTGACTTCTCAAACATTGAAACCTGATCCAAGTCAATACATGTCATGTACGTTTTCAAGATCTTACAGTGAATGGTATAAATTATAAAAATATGTCATGCGCATGAATCTGGTACAGATCATCAGAAGTTAACAAAAGATTTCATCACAGCTAATGCTGACAACGATTTTAAAAGAATAATGTTACAGTTACTGGTTTTAATAAAACCAACCATGAGCCTCCAACTATTCATGTCAAAGTCCATTTCATCCTAAGAACTAGAATTGTTAAAGTGAAGGTCCAATAAGAATGATTTTATTGCAATATCAGTCTAAAAGAGTATCCATTAAAATATCTTAAATTGAAAATAATTTATAAAGAATTTTTGATGTTAAAGATAGTTTCAGTCATATGATTTCGTATTCTAATGGAGGTGAGAAGAAAAATGAATAGCTGCTCACTGTGTGAATACATTTATTGAGTGATGCATTGATAAAACTTACCTTTATTCCTTTAGTTCCCTTCAGACTTCTTGCCCATTTGTTGCCTTCAGGGTCTTCTTCCTTCTTAATCACAGATACTCGTCTGACAAAGAAGAACAATCCAATACCTATTACTAATGCTCCAACCGTCACCCCACCAACAGCTGCTCCGGCTATAACTGCAGAGTTACTCTTGGAGGATGGGGCCTGGCAAACTGGCAAAGGGGGACCACATAGTCCAGGATTATTTGAATAGCTATCAGCTGAGACTTGCTGCTTAAGGTTTGGAATTGGCCCCGTCAAAAGATTGCTTGAGACACTAAATGTCTTGAGCCTTGTAAGCGTGCTGAATTGTCCAGGAATCGTCCCGCTGAGCCGATTTTGATCCAGTTTAAGAATATTAAGATAAGAACAATTTGCAAGATTCACAGGGATCGTCCCAGAAAAGTCATTTGAAGATAGATCAAGATTTGTCACATATTCAAGGAGAACATTGATATCTGATGGGATTGTTCCAGAAAGTTTGTTAATTGACAGGTCCAATCCTGTTAAGCTCGAGCAATTTCGAATGGCACGAGGAAACTGGCCCTTGAGTCCCATGTTTGACAACTTTAGATTTAAGACTTTGTTCTCATCAGGGTGCCAACATTCGACCCCAGTAAATTTACAGATAAATCCTTCTGTGTTGTTGTTGAAATCCCAGGAAGACTTCAAATAACCATATGGGTCTTGAAGAGAATCTTTTATACTTTTCAAGCAGAAGATGTCAGTCGGAGTCCCAAAGACCATGTGACAACTAAGCAGCAACAAGGAATTAATAATAATAAAATGAGCACAGAAAATTCGGCTACTCAGAACCATCTTCAACCACGATCTCAAACACGAGCCGAGAAGAAACAACCCAGATACCTCACTTCAGTTGGGATCCGTTGGAGGTTATAAAATCCATACTATAGTCCCCTCAAGAACACATCCTGACACACATTTCAAAGAAATTAACGAACAGAAACGCAATCCAACACGAACTAAAACGATCAGTTTCTCTGTCGCAGCAGAAAAAAGAAAATACACTAATTATCATTTAAACCAAATTCACACCCTCTAACACTTAACAGGTGCAAAAGAGATATCAAGCCCTGAGAAGCGAAGTCAAATTAAGTTTGACACTGACAGATAAAGCAAAAACCCAACTAATCGAGATAGAGAATTACATCAATTCTGCTCAAGTAATGCAATACCCACCTGAATTATATAGGAATCAAGCTCAGGAGAACCAAAGAAACTTGCAGAGCTCTCGAAATAGCGTGGAAGCATCGCTCTGCCCAGAAGGGAAGGCAGAAAAGAGCAGCTGAATTGGAGAAAAGGACGTGAACAGAAGGTTTGAAAAAACAGAGCCAAAATCGAAGGGCTCAGAGAAGAAAGGATAGAGAGGAAGAAGACGAGTTAACTCTGAAGGGAAAGTGTGTGAATTGGGAAGCAGGAAGAAAGATATAACCAACGGGTCAAAGAAGGCAGTGGCAAAAATTTCCAAGCTCAGGGACGACTAGACTGCGTGCGGGAAAGCGAAGACTTTGTGCGTGCTTGACTTGCTGACTTGCTTTTGCCCAATTAAAGGGGCATGATGGCCCAATGAAAATGGAAAAAGATTTGGAAACAATTTTATACTTTTTATTATTAAAGAATATTTATATTAATATGAAATTGAAACCCATAACCACTTCTTGTTTTCACACTTGATTTTTTTTTTTGAATTTGGCTTTTCCCCCTCATTTATATAATATATGAAGGGCAGTCCCGTCTAATCCAGTTTCTTTAAAAAGTATGATTCTGATAATAATAACCAATATCAACAAATATTATTTTAAATAATATTTTAGAGCAAAACAATGAAAACATTTCTTAAATGTTGTATAATATTTTGGAACGTGATTTAATTTAGTTTTATCTAAATATTTGTTAAAAATTCGATAGTTAATTTTGTTGAAAAATTGAATAACAAAATATAATAACTTGTATATAACTCTGAATTATTTCTAAATATAAAGAAAGTAAAGTAACACTACTGAATTAAAAAAGTGAAGAAATATACATAATGATGAAGATACATGTCACCTGATATAAGTTAGCAGAGGCTAGATTTGGCAGTAGAAATAGAATGATTAACATTTTTTTTAAGGCAATGGCACTATCAAATAGAATGAAGAACATTGATAAAGATAATATGTATATATATTTTTATAAAATATTCTTTAAAATAAAATAAACATAAAATATTTTTGACTAAAAAAATTATGGAGTAATTAACTTAGGAAGTAAGATTGGAGGGGGAAGTGAGTTGTGGTTAAAAATTCAAATCATATTACTCCTCCAGTCCTAAATATAAGACCCATTTTTTTAGGACCGGAGGAGTAATATAAAAAGAATGAAAATTAAGTTATGATAAGTTTATGAATTCTAACAATAAAAATATCAAAGCGTTTACCGAATAAGTTTACCACTGGCCAGGATCATTTAACTAGGATAAGATTGAAAAATTTTAGTAACTCAGCTTTTTCTTTAGAAGAAAAAAGCGCAACAAAAAACCCCAAATTTTAAAATTATTTGATCTATTTTTATTATTAAAATTGTATTGATATTTTTTTTCTCATCTTATTCATACATTATAACTTAGTCTAAAGTACTATATAAATTTTTAACCAGAAAAAAAAGAGTACCATATAATATAACTTCTTATATTTGTTAAAATTTAGAATAAAAGAAAACGAGTAACACCTACACTTGCATACCATCCACAATGGCAAAACAGCACCACTTGACAGTTTCTCTCTGTGTGTGTATGTTACAAAAATGAATAGAGATATAAAAATTATGAAAAATCCTAATATTTTTAAGTTACTATTTTATTTTTTATTTTTTTTTTTTGACAACTTTTATTTATTATTATTTTCCCAATTCTTTCTAATATAATAAAAAATGTCTAGTCATATGACAATTTATGAGAAAGAGATAGGGGTGAGATAAATTGCAAAAAGACTACTTATTTGTGAGAAAGAAGTAAGGAAAGGGAAGATGACAATTTAGTTGCATCTAAGAAAGATAATAATGCTAATTTGCTCTCACGAATTTGATTAATTACATATTTTTTATTTATATCTTAAGTATCATTTCTTTTATTTTTTGGGTGATAATCGCGTAAGTGGCATTTCTAACATAAATAGAATGATAGAATTGTCCCTTCTTTATTTCTCTCTCTCTCATCTTTTCATCTTTGGACCAACTATTGCCGACGCCCAAGCCATTTGGTTGGACCACCATCGATGTTGAATTATTAGTAATAGGCTAGAGTATTTATTTGATATTTTAACTTCATGTAAAGTTTCAGTTTAATCCCTTAATTTTAAAAATATATTTTTAGTTTTTTAACTCTAAAATTTTAGTATTAAACAATAATTTTTTATGACAATGATGGTTGTTTTGAAAATTAAATTAATGTGTTAGCATTTAGTAATATTTTATAAATATTTAAAAGCTTAATATCATTATTTTTTGTTAACAGTTTTTGGATTAAAAAACTAAAAATTTATTTTTTAAAGTTAAGTGACAAAATGAAATATTATGTAAAATTAAAGGACTAAAAGTATACTTTAGCCTTAGTAATATTTTACCATCAGCCAATGTGTTTTTTCATAAGTTCACCAAATTTTACATACTCATTTATAATTCTTCTTCTATATTTTACATATCAGTTTTTCAAATTTTACAACTTTAATTCTATATATTTTTCCTTGAAAATTGCTTGTAATAGGATATTTTCACCCAAAAAGTCATTATGTTTGAAAAAAGAAAAGAGGGAGATAAGAGAATCAGGGATATATCTCTCGTAATTAATCAAATTAATTTGACTTAATTGCCATTATATTTAGATGTTGCTCCCTCCAATTGTGTTTATAAATTTCAATTTTTAAAATAAGCTTGTTTCTTTTTAAAATCTACGTTTTGGAATATATGAATATTTAATACATTTTTTATTTATGTCTCTTAAAGAATTATACGATTCTCTTGTATCTTTTTTTTTTAATCACTCTCTTTCTTTCGTCTTTGTTTTTTATCCAACCTATTCTCTTCCCCATCTATATAAATAAGAGTGTTTTAAAAATAAGATATAATTTTTTCACATATTTATTATTTTTAAATAATTTTTTATTCACGTAATTTAATTATTTAAAACTTTTTTTGGAGCAAAAATTATTTAAAACTTAGAAAAAGAATATAAGGAAGGAAGCACGAAATTATCATTTGCCCAATAAATAGTAGAATTAAAAGGTCGGCATCGGCCCTCGTGAGTTCGGTCGTGTTGGAACCAATTATTAAAACATGGTTGTTGAAAAAGTAAAATATACTTATTTGATATTTAATACAAGAATTACTTGATTATTTTAAATAGATTAAAAAATAAATAAAATTTAATTTCTATATTTAGGATCAAAGGAATAATATTTTTTTGGGTATAGTATCTCAATTATATATTGAAGAAAAATACAAGTAGATGACGCGTTTATATTTTTCAAATCACTCCAAAATAGTTAAAAAGCGCACAACCACATCTTAATAGTGCCATCACAAATCACAAATAATCTAATAATATAGCAAAGAAAATATAAATATTAGCTTATTAATTTAGGGCCTTGCATTGTCAAATTGATGGCCAAAACAAAGCATTTTGGAGCAATAACACGGAAACTTCACTTTTGACTAAATTGAGTGCCTTAGACGCGAGTTTGGAAAAAGAGAGGAAACATTATGGAAATACCAAACCATCACCTTTCGTTTACCAATTCTATATTACATCTTCACCTATCAACTTTTAATTCTGAAACGACCCTTTGATATGTCCGATAGTGACACTTATTACTCACCTTCTTCGGGGCTTAATTAACTTCTTCCTCACGCTCTTAATACATAAATATTGTCTCTGATACACTTAATTAATAGTTCTATTTTGACTCTAAATATAACATATTTTCACTCTAATTCTTATTATAAATCACTTGTAACTTATTTTCACATACTAAGAAATATATTAAACTAATAAAAAGTTTTAAATTTACTCTTATAAAAGTTCTCTCTTTCTCGCTCAGCCATTCATAAATCATTCTCGTTCTCTCTCTCTCTCTATCTTTTTAACCATGATAAAGTTGTATTTAAAAACTTTCTTCTAATTAAAAGTTAAAACTCGATCTAACTTAAATTTGGATTAATAATATTAAATGTTCTAACTTAACTTGAATATAAGTTGTTGTTCGACATAATTAAATACATGAACCAATCAACCAAACATGAGTAAATGAATTATACATAATTTATTATTTGTTCACAATAAAAAACACTAGCTTAATTATATTCTTACCTAAAATGTCATGAGATGCATTTATTTGCTCACACCTCACGTGATTTCGTAGCCTGACCATATACCGGGTGAGAGTTTTATTCATAATTTTTAAAATTTTTTATAAACTGAATATGCTGTGATTTCCAGAAATATTTTTATATTATTAACTAATCTATAAAACACACACACACACACACACACATATTGCAGTGATAGCCTTCTGGGAATGAAAATATCTGAGATTTATTTCCCATTTGCGTGACTAATAATATGCACATTTTACATATAAAACACTGAAGTGACTAATATAATTTTCCACTAATCCTAACAATAATCATTGGTTCAAGGAATTTAGCCCATATTTTTCTTAAATATGACTTGGAAATTTATACTTGTATAATTTGACTTGACTAGTTTTATCTATATTAATTAAGATCTAATATGACTTTTTAAAAAATAAAATTACCATATTTCATAAAACTAGCTGTAAAACCAGAGATAAAAGTACTTGGACCCACAATTTAATAGAAATTAATGGTTCAAGGTAATAAGTTTGAATGAAAAATCCACAAGCCATGTCTATTTTACAACCTTTGTTATCAATCTCTTGCTTCAAGTTTCTGTGTTCCTTTTATTTCTTAGAAGCATTTTTATTTATTATGGCTCACATGATCAAGTCATTTATAAGGCCATTTAAGTTATCAACTTAAAAAAATTTCAAACCACCTTGATAAGTTTCTCTCCCATTTGATGATGATGATGATTATTATTATCCTTTTCCTTATAATTGCTTTGCTCTTATCATCATCATATTCTTTAATAATTAAAATATGATAAATTATTTTTACCTACACCTCAGCTTATTCTTTTTACTTGAGTTAGCTCTAATTTACATGGCTTTTTACAATGTGATATCACATAACTTGATACTTAAATAAGTTCTGTGCATTGTTTGAAGAACGTACTAATTTTTACATGATTAAACATTAAAAAATGACGAAAGCTTGTCTTTTTTCTATGTTGAATAATCCTATCGTCCTTTGAACTCTTGCTCTAATTTACATGGCTTTTTACAATTTAATACTACCTCTAGCTTGTAATATAAAAGATAATTTGACTTTTAAT